CCGATTCGTAGTGGTAACTGAACAACAACTGGATCTCAAGGAATAACACTGGCTATAGCCGGGAGATCCGTAGGGGCACTCTCTTTTGTAACTGTGTAAGCCAGGTATATGAACATAAAGTCTGGGGCCAATTTAATAAAACTTTTACAAGTGCAATTTACAAGTGTAAAACATGTGTAAAGTCACCCTGCTTACCTTAACAACATTTTTATCATTTGTTAACCACTCCCTACCAATATACGAGGTCAAATTAAAATAATAATAATAATAATAAATTATAATAATGATGAATAGCAATGATAACAATGATAAAAAAAGCAAAAAACAATAATAATAATAATAATAATAATAACAATAGTAATAACAATAAATACGGAGCCAATACGTGACCTTATGTAACTTAGTGTAGTACTAGACGATCATATAGGCATGTTCGCGGTAATTCGAAAGACACGTGTCAAAAGCTCCCTGGAGCAATCCTTGATGCAAAAATTCCTCCACTGCATTCCCCAACATATACCTCCGTCTCCTACTTCACCCCCTACCGCATGTGCCCGCTTTCTTCATCTTTTTTACTTTGTTTATACCTCAACTTTCTTATACTTACCTTATTTCACACTTCTCAAAAACTCTCACAATAGTTAAAAAAGAAAAAAAAAAAAAAAAAAAGAAAAAACAAAAAAAAGAATAATAATAATAAAAAAAAAAGGAAAAAAAAAAAATACCGAAGCAAAACCGTACCCCAATGAAATTTGTGTAATACTAAAGCAGCAAATTGGCATGGTCCCGGTAATTCGAAAGAACCCGGGCAAAAACTCCCCTGAAGCAACCTTGGTTCAAAAATTCCCCCCCCCCCACCCTAGGAGATATTTAAAGGGGTTATGTCACGCTATAGCCATCTTTTTTTTTTTTTAAATCTAAACCGTGTCTTTCGCATTAATTAAATTAAAAAATAATCAGGTCCAGTTTTGTCATAGATTTCATTTAAAATATTTCTCCGTTTCTGATTGGCTAAAATGCCAAGAAGAATTTTTCGATATGTGAAAAATGACGTAAATCGTGCAGCAAATTGCCAGATTATTGAACCATTAACCAAGAAGACCTGGGGACGGGGTTGAGTTGTTTTTGGCAGTGTGTAGAAAATGGCGGAACATTTCACTCGTTTCACGAGGAATAAATAGGCGAACCGGTTGGCTAAAAACATAACAAGACCAGCAAGAAGACAACTCGAGAGACGACATCTGCCATTTGGAGAATATTTGCGGAGCTGAACAACCCTTTATCTCCTAAACTTGCCGATCAACTTGCACTATCGAAGACGAACTTAACATCGACTAAGGTAAGCATGTTTAAGCTTGTTTTTAAACTACGAATTATTTTGAACGAATAATAAAACAATTATTGAATTCGGCTTTCGTATCATCTGAAGAATTATGAAGATCTCGGAGGGTGTTACCCGCCTCGGACTACGGCCCCGTTGAACACCCTCCTCGATAGCCCTTCAGATGATACTCAGCCTCATTCCATATTTAGGCATTGAAACTGTTTCCTGTCGTCTGTTGCTACAAACGGCAAGAACGGATATAGATTAAACCCAATTCTTTAATCTTCTTAATGCTATAACTGCAAAAATCACCCAAAAAGTATAATGGATTTTACTTCCTGAAGAAATTTGTTTGATATTTTCGAAGGCACTGAGTTAAATGACTTAAGCAAATAATTGACCTAGAACAGCAATATCCTCGTGACGTATATAAAGCCCCTTTAAGTTCAAATTTTTTCCGATTTCTAACCAATCAGAAACAGCAAAATCCAGGTGATTCTAGAACAGGGATAGGTAAATGCCCAGGCCTCTCCCGTTCTTCTTATATTTCCGTTATCTTCATAAATAACCATTCGTAGCTCCAGTTGTTGAGTACTAAATAGCAATGGAATAAAATTCAATAAAAAGGAAGTGAAAAACATTAACTGACTTTACTAAAAAAAATTAACCAAGAAAAAAAGGGGGGAACCAAGAACTATAACCCAAGCAACTTTTAGAAAGTCTCAAGACTTTCGAGTAAAATATTTCTGTCAAGGACTAGAAAACAAAGCATTTTTGGGGGTGGCTTCAATCTTGTTTAATATTGCTCCAACATGCACTTTGCTGGTCTCGCTGTACTCCAGCGCAAACGCATCCAGAAAGCGGCCGGCTATTTCCGTCACTATGAATATCTAGTTTGTGTTTAGGGTGTAAACTAAGGGAACGTTTTAAGTGACCACAGCTAGGCTTTGTTTCGTTTTTCCATAATAATTGGTGGCAAACGAATGAAAAGGAAAAGTTGATAGGAAACAGGAAATTTTATGAAAAGAAAACCTTAACAATCGTGTGAAATATCATATAAAATCCAAGCTGTAGTCACTTTCAAAAGTTCTTCACTTAAAAGTAGACCTTATCCAAAAGCTCCGCTATTCCGGTTACGATGAAAATGTCGGATTAGCTTGTGCGTTTTCGATAATTAGTACCGTTTTAAACGTAATAGGAAAAAAGACCCACTCGTAAAGTTGGAAAAAAAATTTTATAATACATAAAACAAATCATAGATTTATTCTCGTACGTTTATATTATTTTTCACTTTCAAAAATTTAGTATAACTGAACACACTCAGGTTCACCTTCAGACTATTTCCTAGTAGTACCTTCCGACGTTTTCAAATTTAATCCTCGTCCCACCAAGTTTTTCGCCAATGCGAAATGCTGCCTACAAACAGGTCAGTAAACGGGATAATTTTTTTTTAATATTTGATATCGGTTTCGCTGCATTGCTTCGCGTTTGTGTAGTGCAAGTGTTTTAAAAAATGGTTAACCAATTTTTCGTAAATTGAACCTTTGCAAAGAAATTCACGAGCCTACTATACACTAATATCTAGTAGTAAGATTAATTTGTCAGTTGACCCTGCTTCAATCGCATTAATTAAGGTGGCTTCGTCATTAATACAGGGGCATTGAGCTATGACGAACTTTTTGTCATAAATTTTTCGTTTTCAACGCGATGGCTGAGAAACTTTGCAAGACAACAGATATCATTCAGCAATAATATGGAATATTCCGATTTCATCGCTGATATAAAGATTTTTTGCGAAATTAGCGCTTACATTGACCCTACTTTTGCTGTTCAAAGAAAATTGCGTTTAGTAAAGAGTTTTACTGATATTTGTGACTGAAATTTCTGGTATTGGCTTTTATCGATATGATAAATATGTCAAGTAAATTTTCAGAGAAATGTCATTCGAGCAGAAGTCCTTGACAAGAAAGTCTTTCAAAATTCAGCTGTGAAATTGTTTTGGAATTTCAAATACGCAAATTTCTCTGAGAAAGAACGAGCAACCAGGACCTCGCAGAACTGCCGCCCATGCTCATTCTCTTAGTCATAAGTGCAAAGATGCTAGACAGTCCTATCTGAGCTTTGATACAAGGTAGCTTACAATCTCAATACCCTTTTCTAGAATTGGAAGCAACTTACAGCAGTAAAAGCCGTTGAAGATGCATTGCAATACATCAAAATGTATGTTGCAGAAGTTTCAGCCAAATCCGTGCAAAGGGATAATTAAAAAATGTCAATTAACCAGTCATTCGACTTCAGAGCAAGGTTTGGAGCAATTTACAGTGCTTCTAAAACTAACGAGTACCTTTTAAACAATAGCACGATTTTAAGAATAAGCAGACGCTGGAATAATTTGTCCCGAAAATTCGAACTTAGGTGGCTCGTTCTTCCCCAGAAAAATTTGTTTTTGAAATTTCAAAACAATTTAACAGCTGAATTTTGAATTTTTTTCTAATTACGGATTTCTGCTCCGACGATTTCTCTGAAATTTATCTGGCACATTTTACTAGACACGATTTTCTCATGAACAGTAGGGTCGACTTAATTTGCTAATTTCGCGAAAAATATTTACCAGCAAATTTCATTTTATTGCCGAATGATATCTGTTGTTCTTTGCAAAGTTTCTCAGCCATCGCGTTGAAAACAAAAACGTTATGACGGAAAGTCAGTCATAGCTCAATGCGCCTGTATGACGAAGCCACCTTAATAGTTTGATGCACTGTGAGGTCCAGTTGTGGGATGCACTTCAAGCCTAAAGTTAACGGCATCCTAGACACTTTACACTTTCAAACCGATGTTCTACATGTACAAGTCCCCAGTTTATTAAAGAAGAGTTGCCATTTAAAACAGGTGCGTTCGCACCTCATTAAAAATGTCAAAAACAACCTGACGATCTCTTCTGATGTCTGAAAGCTGTCAGGGCAGCACTCTCATACGGAAAAGATAAAAGTGAAGAAAAGGAAACAATTACGAAGGCCACTTTTTAAATATTCAGTACCAACTTAGAGAAAAAAAGACTTAACAAGTGCTGATCGAAAGTTTCACTCAAAAGAAATGTAAAGCACTCGTTTGAATGGATGTAAAGACGCTTTTAGATAATACACGTATGTGCTTATATATATATATAAATATATCTACAACCGGAGCTCACTTTTAATACTGTTTGTTCCAAATAATAACAATAATGATAATAATAATAATAGTAATAATAATAATAATAATAATAATAATAATAATAATAATAATAATAATAATAATAATAAGAAGAATATAGTAGTAGTAGTAGTAGTAGCAGTAGCAGTAGCAGTAGCAGTAGCAGTAGCAGTAGCAGTAGCAGTAGCAGTAGCAGTAGCAGTAGCAGTAGTAGTAGTAGTAGTAGTAGTAGTAGTAGTAGTAGTAATAATAATGATATTAACAATTTCAAAAATGACTCTGTCAACGTCACCAGAATCACTTTGTCAAAGATTGTAAGACCGAACATTTTTTTTCGGAATAGCCTCGTTCCCTGATTCCTTCCCTCTCGGAGGTCTCTGTAAATTTCACCTGCAGAATATAACTTTCTATATCTGAAATCCATTTAAATTTTTAATTGCGTTATTTTCCTAAACCAAAAAGAAATAGTTACTGTTGGACTTATATGCACAACTTCATCCGACCGTCGCTGATAATTCTACTTCTTAATCTTTCCAGGTCTTTGGAATTAGAGGAAGAAAAGTGTCTTTTTCATGAGGCTGTTTGGCGAGCGGAGTACTTGCAAGATGACACGTTTAAACATCTGGTGGCCCAGGTCTGTATCGACATTGTAGCAGCCCTACCGACGATTGGTCTAAATGCACTGGTCATTTTTGCTGTGGTAACAAGGAACCGACTGAGAAACAACTCCACCATACTTCTTGCCTGTCTAGCTGGGGCAGATCTGTTAACGGGGCTTATTGTTCTACCATTTGCCTTCTCGCTAGACTTGAAGCGACTTCTTGGTGTTGGGCCATTCTGTTCGCCAGAAAAGGCATTTAATGTGATTATTACGATGGTAGCTTTTGCTTCATTCAGTCATTTGGTCGTAATCAGCATAGAACGCTATATAGCTATCAAATATGCCTTGAGGTATCAGGATATTGTCACAGAAACGTGGATAATAATCAGCATTGTTCTAGCCTGGGCTATCACTTTGACGGTGACAATCAATGAAATTGTTTTGGCTCTAATAGACAGCGAAAACATTTATTCAGTTTATTCACACGTGAGCTATATAATACAAATTGTTATCGGAATTCTGTTTAGTATTGCTATTTTACTGTCTTATGGTTACATTTACTCAGAGACACGACGACAAGTCAAACGCCTCAAAGCCGAACAACTACCTCAGGAGGAAGTCCAAAGAATCAAGAAAGACAGAAGGGCGGCTACTACTCTGGCAATCATTCTAATTGCTTTAGTAATTACCTATTTACCAGCAATAATAATGGCGGTACTGACTGCTCTTCCAGGTAGCATTGCAGGACCGCCGCGTTTTAGAGTCATCATTTGGAACTGGGTAGGAGTTACTATCATGTTGGGTTCCCTGTGCAATCCTATCATTTACTGTTGGCGTATGACGAATTTGCGACGCGCATTTCTCGAGATACTACATTTAAGAAAACCCTGAAAACATTCTGTCAGAAACAGCAATTAGATGAACTCAGCGCAATCAAGCCGGACCTAAGACAAACTTAAAGCTCACTCGTTGGCCGATAACAGGCAACCGGTTTTGTTATCATTTCGTCAGCTGCCAGCCGAGTACATCGCTCGCATCCAAAAAGCTAACGAGTTCTAGTTCTTGCTTTAATGCTTTCAAATTGTACAGTCAAAGCCCGCTTTACGTACACCCACTTAATATGGACACCTTATTGTTACGGAAATTTTACCTTTTCTCCGGGTAAAGAAAGCGCTTACATTTCCTCTAAATTTAACCCGTTTAACAAGAACACTTTCTATGACTCCCTCAGTGTCCGAATTAACGGGATTTGACTGTACTCCTAAATCAGTTCGCACTGTATCGAGCCTATCTAAGGGTTTTTCCGACGAATTCCAAGTCGCGATGATCTCTTTTGATCGCTGATCAGAAACGACAATCTTGGAGATAAATCGATAATCCCATTGCCATTCCGATCAAGTTTGACAACGTTAGTCGTGCGATTTATGGCAGACGAATCTACCAAAAATATGTGCTGCACGTTCAGAGTTTTCGTTTTGCTTATTAAACCCATTGCTTTTTCTATTTTGTCGTTTTCGTCGTCTTCGTGGTTGCTCGAGCCCTCTTAAGTAGCGCTACCACGCCAAACAATTCTTAATATGCGGCGATTCAGCTGAAAAACCGACGATTTGATGGAAAACGCGCAACGAAAACGACGTCCGTAGTTACCCATAGAAAGGCTCACTACTAGGAGTGCTATAACAGCTGAAAAATGAAACAGTACCCGGGGCTTTCATCGACCTTGAATAGGTTAGGCCCGGTTTCGATTTCCGGCTGACAGGGTCTAAAAATTACGTGTCCTTGTTCTGTCGTCTGCAAATGGGGTGCAATTGTTTTGTACGTTATATTTATAACCCAAACAGCTTTTCTTCCAGGACCACGCTGTTTTACGTACCTCTCCCGCTTTTTCCGAACCGTGGCCTATACCACGATATGGCACAGTTAAATACGGCAAGCATAGTATCAGTTATTTAGGCCCCTATCTTTGGCGGAAAATTAGCCAAGACATACGCAGTAAGACTAGCCTTGGTTCGTTTGTGGGAACTATATATATGCAATCTTGATATGTCAAGCCTGCTGGATGGTTCGTGCAAATGCTGAGCGTGTACATAATGCTTACTCAATTGTTATAGATATTATCGCTGACACTTCTTTTCTTTTATCGTATGTGTATATATTTTCAAACTGTTAGATCTTTACTTTGATTTTATGATTTTATTTAGTGTCCCCAATTAGCTTTCCTAGCTATAAAGACCTTGACATGCACTTAAATAAAGTTTACCTATCATCTATCTATTTGTTAAGAAATATTTCAAATGTGGTTACTTTATGTCTCCTTTCTCCTTTGTTTATTAACAAAGAACAAAAATTGACGGTACTTTTTATTGAAGATCAAATTAACTTAACAATCAGATTTGCAGTACGAGACTTTGAAACGTGTCTTTAAAAGTACGGCGAACATATACCCTATGTAGTCTAGTGCTACACTGGATTATATAATGGATCTCTGTAGTGACTGGTTAACACATGACAAAAATGTTGTAAAGGTAAATGCAGATTCGAACTTTCTATTTAATTCTTTTACCTATACAACTTACATAGTTACATAAGGGAGTCGACCGATGGACCTCCTAGCCACAGCGTTACCAGCAGCATTTGAAAACAATCATTTATGCATAATTTGGGGGGACGGGGTGAACAGAGTATTTGAGGGTTTCGAAAAAAGAGAATTGTTCTGAAGTCTGCCGTCGTGATTCCCTTTGAATTTCGCAAGATGATGCACGTAAGTCCCGGATACATGTCGCGGCATTTTGCTCGATATGATCTAGATCTCTAGCAGGTATTCCAGGTAAGTTGTTGATCGTTGCGCAAACACCTAACAGTCCAAGAACGCCTTGAATCCTGGGAGACATCCAAAGGAGCTATGTCACGCTCTTAGCCATCTTTCGTTTAACAACAACTGAGCGAATCCTCGCGCGCTGATTGGTCGAGAGCTATGGTCTATGACAGTATAGACCATGGAAATGACGTAACATTTTCCGAGAAACTTCGCAGGAAACTAAAAATAAATGTTATTATAAAAAACAAATCGACCATAGAAATGATACCATAAAATGCTCAAAACTTTGCAGTGAAACCACTCGCCTGTGGCTCGTGGTTCCACTTAAGTTTTGAACATTTTATGACGTCACTTCTGTGGTCTATAAGAGTGTAGACCGTGAAAAATTGTGGTCGATTTGTTAAAAAAATCGAAATCTCTTGGTCCCGCTTTGTTTTTCAAGACTATATGAAAGGCATTGAAATAGTTTCGTGTCGTCTGTTGCAAGGGATGGCAAGGATGGACATGGATTAAACCCATTTTTTAAAAAATGTTTATAATGATATGCCTGCGAAAAAATAACCCACAAATTATTATGGATAGTGCTACCTAGTGAAGTTTGTTTGATATTTTCTTCATAAACTCTACAGGAGCATTATTCAGTCGTATGGGTAAAGGCACTAATGACTGATAACCAAAGAATTTATCTAAAACAGCAATATCCTCGTGACGTATATATAAAGCCCCTTTAAGTTCCCTGCTTCTGATTTCTAGCCAATCAGAGGCAGAAAATACAGATGATTCAAGAACCTGGCTTGGTAAGATTAAGTGCCCAGGCCGGCTCTCCAGTTCTTCCTATTTTACCAAATAACAATGGAACAAAATGTAATGACAGGATTTCCTCGGTAAAAGTTTACTTTTTATATTGTATTGAAACGATTTCTTTCCTAGCTTTTCCTAATTGGTTGAGTACGTGTGTATAAATAAACGAAAATCAAGGACCTCGATTCGAGAGAAATTACATCATTGCCAAAGAACAAAAACGTGATGAACATGACGCATCATCTCAACCAACGTCGAAAATGAAAACTCATGCTCATCACAAGACTCATTTGCATACACTGAAAACCTAGAACAACACCCGACCAGTTAGCTTCCCCATCGAAGTTTTGCTCAGAAATGTTCTTCTTTTTTCCGACCACTGAAATATTCACTTGTTTCACTGGGTCCAGAGGAGATGTGTTTGTCGTTAGAACATCAAAACCCGTCGAAAACCTCTAAAAAATGGGTTATTTTGATCGTGTTACAGTTTCGTTACACATTCTATAGACCGCAAACCAAGAGACTGAGGGCTCGCAAGATCGTCTTACAGTATAAAATAGGAGCGTTGCGTGACGACTCTAAAAACGGCTGTGTAGCAGACTACCCTTGTCCTTTCTTTTACTCGGCACTTCGTGCCTCGGTCGCCCTTCGGGCGACGTGCCGTGCGCCAGCGAGGATATGACTTGCGGTTATTGATTTTCAAAAGTCGATCTGGGTGTCGATCTGGGTCAGATAAGAAGCCAAGAAATCGTTTACAATAGATTTATAAAGATCCCATTGGGCTTATTAATCATACTAAGCGACAGGTATAGACATTTTTTCAAGGGGAGACTTTAAATAAGTAATTCATTTATTCACACGAAACTCCTCTGGACCCTGTGCTTGTTTCGAAGTAATCAAAGCTTTCAAGCGATAGAATTCGTGGACCGACCCGTTCTCGAAAAGCTAGACATCTCTCGCATTAATCTTCCCTAAGCCTTCTTCACAAAACATTCATGCATGGTGCTCTGAATATGTTGTCAGTCACGCCGCGATTCTCAACCCCAGTTTCCACGGTCTCCCCTAAGAACACCTGGGACCATGACCCTCTTTTGGCAAGTACACACGAAAAAAAGGGCTTGTATTTCTTAGACCCAAAAAAATGACGCGACAAACATAAATTGAGTTTTCTTAAAAAGTTAACTAAGGAAAAAAAGAGATAGAGGAACTATAACCCAAGCAAACTGAACTTTGAGAAAGAGTAAAATATTTGTGTCAAAGACTGGAAACAAAGCATCTTTTTTGGGGGGGAGGGTTTGGGGGGGGGGGGGGGGGGTGGGCCCAAAATGGGGGGGGGGGGGGGGGGCGTTGGCCTCAATATTGTTATTAAATATTGCTCGAAATCGTAGCTGTACTCGCTGTACTCCAGGGCAAACGCATCCAGAAAGCGGCCGACTATTTCCGCGACTATGAATATGTAACGAAGGGAATGTTTTAAGTGACCACAGCTGGGATTTGTTCCATTTTTCGATAATAATTAGTGGCAAAGGAAGGAAAAAGAAAAGCTGAGAAGAAATAAGAAACTTTATGGAAAGAAAGCCTTAACGATCGTGTGTACTAGCACATAAAAATCCAGCTGAAGTCACTTAAAAAAAGTTTCTAACTTAAATGTAGACCTTCTGCAAAAGCTCCGCTATTCTAGTTTGATGAATACGTCGGATTAGTTTGTTTTATTTCGATAATTAGTACCCTTTTTAAACGAAATTGGAAAAAAGACCCAATAGTAAAGCTGGAGATAATAAAAAAATGCAAAAAACAAATCATAGATTTATTAAATAACATAACTTTCACTTTTAGAAATAAGTAAAGCTGAACACAACTTTGCCTTCAGACCATTGCCTAGTTGTGTCTGCTGACGTTTTCAGACTGATTCCTTGTTTCACCAAGTATTTCGCCGATTTGAAATGCTGCGCACCAACAGGTCAGTAAATGGGAGAAAAATTGTTAATTTCACATTGGTCTCGCTGCATTGCTTTGCGTGCGTGTGATGCAAGATTTAAAAAACTGATTAATCAATTTTTCAAAGCTAATGAGTCTTTTTAAAGAAGTTCACGATGCTACTTTACACTACTATTTAGTTTAATTTGTTAATTGACCGTGCTTAAATCGCATTAACTTCCAGCACGTTAAACGTGTCCTAGACACTTTCAAACTGGTGTTCTATACAAGTCCCGAATTTATTTAAGAAAAGTTATCATTTCAAACAGGAAAGCTTGCATAAAATGTGAGACCAAACTGACGATCTCTTCTGATGTCTGAAGGCTGTTACTGCCTGCAGCACTCTCATGCAGAAAACATGAAGTCGAACCTCTCGAACTAAACAAACAAACAAACAGAAAAAAAAATAAGGAGGCCACTTTTTAATATTTAGCATCAATTTCAGAGAAAAAAGACTAAACAAGTGCTGATCAAAAGTTTCACTTAAGGGAAATATAAAGCATAAAGTAAGGACATTTTTTTGATAATACACATATTTTGGATAATACATTTTTTGGATAATACACATATATGTGCTTAAGCCTGAAAGCGGAGCTCACGTTTTTTACTGCATGTGTGTGTTGCAAATTATAACGAGTTTTACGAACCTACTATCATCTTTAACTCTGCCGGTTATTTGTACCTCCCTCTGACTTAGAACGACCAGAAAGCAGTGATGCCTGAATTTAAAGCCCTCTCATTTCAACGGGTGTTGCATTCAGGGGCACCCACCGACAATTTCTGGAAAATATCTGTTCGGAACACGATTTGAGATCTAGAATTTTCGGAACATTTGTTGTAAAATTTCATGCTTGTCTGCCTCTCCTAGGATTTTCGAACCCCCCAAAAATGGTATAATTGCCCATTTGTAACGGATTTTTGCCCTAAAAAGGTCACCTAGAATTTTCGGGAGCCTTTTTTCGGGCTGAAATTTTCGAAAAGGTAAGTTGTGATCCCTATAATTTTCGGATCACTAGACTTTCAGCTAGGAAATCCGAACAGATGAAAAATTTTTAGGGGATAAAAATATGTCTATACCTACCCTTTAAATACTAAAATACGTTCAACAATGCTATGTTTAAGTGGTTTTGAACTATATTCTCTTTGGGTTTCCCTGTTACATTACTTAAAAAGAAAGGCGGATTGCTTATGCTTGTGTTAAAAGTTATTCAATTAAGCTTCCTCTACCAGGCGGGAGTTGAGTTGACCTGCCCACAGTTTCTTTCTTAACGAACCAACCTTGGACAGAAAAATAGTTTTTCTTTCAGCCGCAAATTACCAAGTGAAACAAAGTAACATTTTGTGCAGGCGCGGAATACATGACAGTTTTCTTCTCAAGTACACTTTATAATACGTTTTGCTTCTCGGTAGAATGAAGGACCACAGCGGTAAGTCCGGTACAGATACAAATAAAGGTTCTGCTTGCCGGAAAGAGAATTGAAAAGCTGCACATTAAACGTAAATCAATTTCCTTTACGGCTTAATTTCAATCTTTGATGAAAAGGAGAGTCGGACAAATCAATATGCATAACAATATGCAAGCTTACACTGGGCTATTTGCAGTCGAAAATTTCGACTTCCCAAATTACATTTATGTGGGGGTAATTCGAAAAAAGAAAGTGCTGGTAAAACAGAAGAGTAAACCATTGAAACCGAGCAAATATATAAAACAACAACGTTCTTCAAAACAAATTGACCGAAAGATCCGTCATTCTCATAAAAGCTGAAAACAGATCCATCACATTTGCGACAGCAATGATAAGACACTGCAATTCCCTGCATGAATAGAAAAAATTATTTCTTTAAAGAGATATAGAGTTAGAACGACAAGGTAAACATTCAAGTTTTTGTGCCGAAGACTTTAGATACGTAGATACGTATACCTAGAATTCGGATTGTAAAAAACTATTCTTTTAAAACCACTTTCCGTGTTTGGTTTTCGGATGAAACACCTCTTCTCGTGTTTGATCCATTGAATCAAACAGGGCTCGAAATTAACGCTCGCAAACTCGCAAAATGCGGGTGATTTTGATAATCTGCGAGTGAGAAAAATATCCATTAGCAAACGTTTGCGAGTTAGAATCATCCATGTCTCCCAAACAAAGGGAAAGAATTTGCTAGTGGTCTTACCAGTTGGCTAGTGGAAAAAATTCTTACTAGCAAAACTTTGCAAGCGCGCTAAAAAGTTAACTTCGAGCACTGTCAAACACATCAAAGTTGTCTGAGAAATATTCCTCTACGCGTCGTGGCATCATTTACCTCTCGTCTCGCTGTTTGATATGTGAAAAAACACTGTTAGAGTATTTCGTGTTTAATCTTTTACTTCACGTGCGTGTCGTCACGGTTAAATTGACTCTTACATCATAGTTCCTAAATAATTACTCCGTCCGCTACGCTCCGTACTTGCTCCCTTTTATAGTCTCGCTGTATGATATGCGAAGAAACACTTGGGCTCGCGTTTGATAACATAAGATATCAGAGCTAGACGAAATAGCAGCACACCGTCTAAATTACATTTTTGCTTTAATATGCTGACTTGTCTGTCAAAGGGGAAAATCTCATCTGTCAAACAGATGAGATTTATATATTCTTGAGTCTGAAGAAAAAGGAGAGAGTAAAGGGTAATTAATTTGTAGTCATTATTTTGGCTTAACTTCTGAATGAATGTCAACATTGGCAACTAGATAACTGTCAAACATTGCAAAACCGAACATTTGTTTCGGGATGGCATCGTTCGTTTCAATATTGTGAAAATTCAGCTGTCTTTTTGTTTATACGCAGTTCGAAGAGAACGTTTCAAGTGATCACAGCTGGCTGGGCTTTCTTTTCCTTTTTTCGATATAATTACTTATGTTTTGGGACAAGGAAAAAAAAGGCAGAATGAAAGGTGTAAATTAGGGGAAAAAATATATCTTATTGGACGGTTTAGAGTGTAGTATCGTGGAATATTTTTACGACTCACGCTGTATTTTGGCGAGCCCGTAGTGTCAGTCAAAATACAAGAGACGAGTAAAAATATCCCGCCACGATACCAAAGTCACTACCAATAAGAAATTTATTATTCAACTCGAAGGGTTCGAAGTGTATAAAATAGAACTAAGTAAATTATTATATGGACTATAAATATATATGGTAGAGATTGGGGTAAATAAAAGGTTATTAACTCTATGTAAGATTTTGGTTGATTCCAGGTCTGTTAGCAGATTAATTTTCTACCTAAAGACCACCAAGCCTTTCCCATTTAAAAGTTTAGAGAAGTATAGATTTGTGGATTTCCTTTCAGTGGTTTCAAGTTCATTGTTTGAAGTAACTAATGTCTGAGTACATTTACGGGAGCTTCGCTTTTAGCCTTGGTTAAATTAAACAATTATCCCAGCTGAACTTAAACTGTTTTGAAAAATCAAAATGTCCAAATTATCCAAACGTTCTTTGTAAAACTTCGGAGAGTCGTGGGCAAAAATTTCACATCATATATTTGCATTTCAGAAAAAAGGAACCGCAAATTTAAAACGTTTAACAAGAGATAATTATCGAGGACGTTGACTTGTATCCATAGAGATCTTTTTTTACAAATATTATGCGCCGATCAATTCGAAACTTCAATATCCCCTTCGGGCAAACCCCGGGGAGTGGGGTATTTGACCATTGCCCAGGTGGGGTGGGGAATTTGAACCGAAAACGTCAAGTTTAACTTCTCTGGACGATCCGGGTCTGACGACGTGGTTCTATAGATGCATTGATTCTCATATAGTGACATGGAGGAGTTTAAAGGTATAAGCTTTTTTAAACGAATGGCTTATTCGGCAAAGATTCAAAAGCTACTTGTATGCGTTTTTGAAGGTACAATGTATTCATTTTTATCATTATTTATGTGGTTTATTATTTTTTATGTGGTTCAATTGCTGGTTTTCAGTGTCACGCCATTCAAAATAGATCAAAATAAAAATCAAAACCGTTGAATAGATAAAGTCCAGAATCTGGGAAATCCGGAAGATTCGCTTAAGTCTATTTTTCGAATTCACAATCTCAAAAACATTTCTTCTTTGGGAGGGGCATTTGACCAATACATTCAGCTAATGTAATAGGAATTTGAACAGGCCTGTTTTAAAAAGTTCAAATGCCCGGGGGGGTTGCCTTGGGGTGGGGGGGGGAATGATGTTCGAATTGATCAGCGCCCAATTTTATTTGATTGTTTTCTTTCTTTTCATGTAAGTTGGATACCCATTACAGTGAACTTCTATTCCGAAATGGTTTTTCGAATTTTGTAACTGGCAATAACATGTTAAAAATTGTTAATATTACCACGCCTTGATCTTTCCAGCTCTTTAGTTCCAGAAAAAGAAAAGTGTAATTTTTATGAGCCTATTTGGCGAGCGGAGTACTTACAAGACGACACTTACAACCATGTGGTTGCCCAGATGTGTATCAGTATCATAGCAGCCCTACCGACGATTCTTCTAAATGCGCTGGTCATTTTTGCCGTGGTAACGAGGCGCCGACTGCAAAACAACTCTACCATACTTCTGGCTTGTCTAGCTGGAGCCGATTTTTTGATAGGGCTTCTTGCTCTACCGTTTGCCTTCTTGTTAGGCCTGAAGCAACTCCTTGGTGTGGGGCCATTCTGTCCGCTAGAAAAAGCATTTATCGTGATAACTACGATGGGAATCAATGCTTCGTGCAGTCATCTTGCCGTGATCAGCATAGACCGCTATATAGCTATAAAATACCCCTTGAGGTACCGGGATATTGTCACAGAAACGCGGATAATAACAAGTGTTGTTCTCGCTTGGGTTTTCACGTTACTGGTGATAATCAATGAACTTGTTCTGGCTCTAATAGACAGCGAAAGCATCTACCCGATTTATTCGCAAGTGAACATTTTGATACAACTTGTTGTTGCGACTCTCTTCATTGCTGCAATCTCAGGGTCTTACGGTTACATTTACAAAGAAACACGACGACAAGTTAAACGCCTCAAAGTCGAACAACTGCCTCAGGAAGAAATCAAAAGGATCAAGAAAGACAGAAAGGCCGCCACTACTCTGGCAATCATTCTAATCGCTTTGGTAATCACTTATTTACCAGGAATAATAGTGGGGGTCCTGACTTCTCTTCCAAGTAGTATCGTGGCACCGCCGCGTTTCATATACATCATTTGGAGCTGGGTAGGAATTACTTTGATGTTAGGTTCCCTGTTTAACCCTATTATTTACTGTTGGCGAATGAAGAAACTACGCCGTGTATTTCTCGAGATACTACATTTAAGACAACCTGAAAACACTCGGCCAGAAACAGAAGTGAGAGAAATACAACGCCATCAACCTGGACCCAGTACAAACCAGGCTTTCTCGCTGCCCACAAATACGCAACCAGTTTTGTTGCCGGGTCCTAAACTGCAAGCCGAACACATCACTAGCATCGAAGACGCCAAAGAGTACTAGCTCTTGCAACTTGCTTTAATGATTTACTCCTTAATTAATTGTCACTTGGTCAAGTTGTAGTGGAATTGCAACGTAACCCTTTAAGAGTAGTTTCTTGGTGTCGCGGACGGGTGCAATCACCAAATGAATATATAATATTACTACTAATAATAACGGTTTATTCACAGAATATTCGAAGTATGTTTTCTCGGGCTCCCTTAAGAACCTTTTCTTTGAAGTTACGTAACTTATCACATTTATAGCCCTCAAAATTTACAAAAAAAAGAATGCAACATGCTTAAAATTATTCTGGTACAAGGTTTTTGTCCAGTGAAAAGTAAAATTACTCAATTTCCTCACGGATTCCGTCTTAACACGAAATTTGTCCTTGTAATATCAAAGCTCTTAATAAAATAGAGTAGTCATGATAATTGGGCACAAGACTGATACTTCAACAAATTCTCCCCACTACTTCTATTAAAAACGTATCAGGACAACAAATAAGAATTTGAATTTTGATATGAAGGTTTAAAGGGCTAAGGTTGACCACGTCACCGGGGTTGTGCAGCTGAGCGTTAGGCCCACGATCGTTCCCATCAAATAGAAAGAAATAATTCAATTAAATATCTCCAAGACAACTCAGACATCAATGAACTAGAAAAAACTATTGGATATAACTTTTGTTACAAGATATTGGAGCTTTAAACGGAAACGAAATTGAAAACAACGTGGTAGAGATTCCTTTCTAAGAATTAACTTTGCAAAATAACCCTTGTAATAAAGAGAAGCGATGACGTCAGAAAAATTAAATTTGTAAAATTATGGGATAGGTTGGCATAACCACAAAGAACAAGAATATTTGCTAAAAATGAGCTCGTTGGTACAAGCTAGTGCTTGTGGGAAGATATAGGCCCCATTACGCTGCTCCGATTAGACCATTTAAATCCCTTTAAAACAGGCCTGGATCGTAAACGTTACGATCTCCGGCCACCAATTTGCACTAACGGGCTACTTTTTGTCCTGGGGGGTTTTTTCATCTTGTCCTTTCTGAATATGCTAACCAATCCCATAATATCACAATTTATATTTCTCGTGATGTCTCACTTTTCTTCTCTATTGGAGTGAGGACCTTGGGCTGGTCTGGATTGCCAGGCTAACTTGCCTTGCGAGGTGATACTTTTCGTTGTATCATGCCATTCAGCGGAACCTCAGCTACTAAAATTGGCTACAATCTTGGACAAAACTGTTGAGAAAATTGCATACTTGGGGGGCATTTTTCCTAATTCGTAGCCGACCGATTCTTCCCTTCCCCGCCCCCCTCCCCCTGGAAGCGGTGTCGTTGGGTCCTCAAAAGAAAGCCGGATCCCTAAGCGTTTGTAGGAAGCAACTTTGCCAAAGTTGCTTCCTGGGGGAGGGGGTTTTCTTTACGCAAAACCGTTGATTTGGAAATAGTTTTGTTGCGCTAGGTAGTGCGCATTAATGAAAACATTTTCTCAAGTAGTTTTGTCCAGGATTGTAGCTTAGTTGCCATGCAGTCTTATAGTCGATTGTGGTCGCTTTTAATTAACGGGCCACGATTTCGACAGAGCGAGCCTGCCCGGCTCATACAATCAGGCAAAACATGTCTAAATATTCCAATTAAAGCCCCTTTTAGATACCTAAATGACAGATTTCCCCCTTCCCTTTCATATACGTCAATTCGTGGTTTAAATAAGGCAGAAACAAAGCGATAAATTTAACTAGTGAGAAGTTGAAAAATCAATTATTAATAAAAATACTTAATACACTTCACCGTTCGTTTTCTTTTTCGTTTTTTCTCTCAGTCTTCTTGCAGTGAGGAGTCAGTCTGCCATTTTCCTACTAAGTATCATTGAAATTCACACCCGTTTATATACCTGAAGCCTGAAAAGGATACCTCTTTCGGGTGGAGCCTCCTTGTATAGGCCATTACAAGAAGTACCCTTTGGGGGTATAGGCGAATCTTTGTTTACACTTTTTGCCTCATTAACATATGCTTATCACTATCTGATGACGCTAATAAAATAAAAACTGAATATTGAAAGGGCATAACAATTGAAAATTTGAGCGCAATACACCGAAATTCTCTTCTAAAAACTCGAAATTTTACAGAGAATGTATGGCTCATTAACTTTTTTGCCACACAGCAATTTCGCAGTTTTTGATGACTGATATTTCCTTCAATATTGCTTGCAAAGAGCTGAAAATTGCACAAATTGCTCAACTTATCAGCTCTTTCAACTTTTGCATTTAGTTCATATACATAGCCACGGCTCCTATGAGTTAAGTCGTATGCTAATGAGGAAAAATGTAAACAATGACGTCAACAAAGATTCGCCTATATGAAACGTAGCTCTAGAAAAAATATTCAGTTGAGTGTTTCATCTGTGCTGGTATTCAAACACCTCGACTAATGTTTGTACCTCGTGCTTTCAGCACAAGTATCGAAACGGTCCTATTTTTCCTGAGTTTTATATACTATCGGTACTTTCCGGCAAGTATCAGCCAGGCAAATTCGTTTATCTTTTGTGGAATGTGCCGGATGGTTCTTCGCGATTTGTTACATAATTTTAGAGATTTAAAACGGATTTCGCTATAGGCAGGAATGGCTAATAAATTTCACCCAAGTTTGAAACGACAACTAAGGCACATTCTATTCAAAAACAATAACAACATGGTTAAGCTTTGCTGGTAAATTGGGGCAAATTAGCTCTTACGTTTCATGGTAAATTCCATTGTATCAAATCTATAAATGTTAGAAAGTACAATATTGTTCGACTGTGGCCTTTAACTGCTGTAATTAAAAGGAGAAATTAAAGTCCGAGCTTTCGCCGATCAAAGGCATTATCAGGGATGATGATTAACCTCGGGACTGTCAAGTTTTTAAAAAAATTTATCGAGCGGTTTTTAAATAACGGTGAAATATTTGTAGAAGAGGACCAAATTACATACAAAAATGGTAAAGAAAGCAGCCGAACGTAGGTTATTATGAAATTCCTCTTTCTCACAATCGGCCAAAGCAATCCCCATCTTTTTTCGTAGAAAGTTTCAGATGGAATCAAACCACTATGAGATGAAAATGCATTTCCAGACCTCCTCATTTTCTTAAGATATTAGCAAATTATGTCCATAGCATGATTATTCACTGTGTTTATGACCCTTAAAACTTTATTTCAAAATGTTTCGAAAACGCTCTCATAGGATTTGTTCAAACTCTGTCATAACCTAGGCAACTAAGGGAGGTACAAGCTCGCTTAAGCGATTTCCGGCAAGTAATAAACGTAATGGCGTCATTATGTTGCCATGGTAACTCTGATGCCAATAAAACATGGATTATAACAGATTTTCATCTTTATACCGAGCAGCTGTGGTAACCTTTTCGCGTTATCTTTGATATCGCCGACGTGGTCAAACCTCAAAGCGGGGAGGCATACTCCCTAACAAATCCAGTGGAGCCACCTTAATGATATTGATTATCCTGACTATTCTGTACAAAGGGAAGATCCCCTAGGCCTGCTGATGTTACATTTTGCCCTCCAAATAATCCAATCCAAGAGAATAATGTTAATCACCCAAAATAACCATACTTCACTGTTTTCGAAGCAGAAAAAAAGTGACACAATAAAAATAACAATTTCGGAGCTAGCAACCACTCCTAATATTTTTTTCTAGATATGTATTTTTCGATTTCAAACTGAGTTTTCATTTCAGTTTGTTCGCGATGAATATTCTGATACGTTTGTAGGATTTCGACGATTATACTATAGGGTATCGTTTGCAAGAAAAACGCATCTGGCTTTGTCTCGTCAGGCAACGAGGAAGAAACGAGCGTTGCATTACGAGACAAAAATGGCTGCGAGCGAGACTCTTCTTGATTTTCACATGACATCACCAAAATTCAAAAATATTAATAGAATTATTGATTCTCCTGAGTTTTTATTTTCGGTGTTAGAGCACCTTAAACCCTATATATTCACAACTTGCACTTTATACTGTTAACATCCGATTATGCAGGTGTGCTTCCAGCCGTTTTTTCCTTTACTTCAGTGTATGCACGTAACGTGGATCTTCATACTATTTCTTACGCTAGTTTTTCGATTCTGCAACAAGTTTTCGGCGACGGAAAATGCTGCAGACTAACAGGTTAGCTTATGACATTAGTCTCATCGCCTTTGCTCCATTGTTTCGCGCATGTGTCGGGCAAATCAGCAGATGCTTTACTTCATAATCAAAATCTGATGGGCAGTGCACCGTAAGTTCTAGTTAAAAGAAACTTGCTATATTATATATATAAGGAGGGACGAAGCCAACACACTTGCCCCCTTTTAAACGGATGTAGCAGCATAGGTTCCGCATTTAACGTCTGACTGCGAAACTGTTGTTGTCTTTTCTCCAAATCGCTACCTGTAAAGCAAAGCGCAAAGCGTCGATTTAAAATTTTCCGTAGTCTCAGACCCTGTACACACGTATCGGCAGTTGATTTTCGTATGATCGGCTTTCCATCATCAAGTCTCCGATGAACATGAACGGTCGCCGACAACGCAACTTTTCAAAAACGCTCTTCGGCATGGAAAGTTTTTAAAAAGGGCGTGGACGAATGGAAATTTTCGAAGACGATGACATAGCAGTATTTGATCTTACGGGGAGAGAAAATGTTTCACTCCCACTTCAGGGGCACACAACGACGCTGCCCTCTTACATACATTGAAAACTAACTGTTTTTTAAGCTACCCAGAGTACCTTTAGATCTCTAGAACTGCATTCTAAGAAACACTATAAAATTTGTAGGTGTTCAGTCAACATAGGGCAACTCGCGTTTTCTCGAAACTGCATGTTTTTTTGCACGAAAGTGATAATCTTGTGACTCTTCTCTCTTTCGCATTTTCCAACAAGAAAATTTCAGGTCTCCATTTTCTTAGAAATACATAGTTCAACCTGGGGAGTGAAAATATGTTTTTTCCCTCATATACACATCACCATATTTCGAAGGTTGCGTATCAGAGACGACACTTATATTTCAAGTTTGGGTAACCTGTGGTACCAACAGTCAGGGTTAGGTGGTCTTGAAGCATTACTACTGCGGAGCGCGGTTAAGAAAGCGGGTGATCAAACAGAAGAGTACTAGTGAGAATACTAATGGACCCAAAATTTAACGATTTGGTGTTCTGGAATGATTCGAATCTAATCTCTTACTCTAGTGGTAATAAAGTGCATAATTTGCATTCTATTGCCGTTATAGTTGTAAAAGTTGAAAGTTGGTTCAAAACTCTCTCAAATTAGACCCATTTTTATCCATTACTGGCATAAGGTAGACTAGGATTTCATTTTGTTTGACAGGGAGATTACATCGTGTTGCTCATGACATTGGTAGTTTCTAGGTGTTTCGGACAGGTGCAATCAGCAAATGACATAGAGTGGGGAGACAATGTGATGTCTGAACAATGCCCAAACCACAACACAAAAGCGACCCAAAAATAAGCTGCAATGGTTCCTGAAACACTAAGAAAAACCAATGACAATGCAAGCTGCCAAAGTCCTTGAAATGAATGATACCTGTTCACCACAAGTTTTCGTGCGAAAGGAGCAATTCATTCGTTCATAAAATATTTTGGATGGAGTATTAATAACCCAATTTGCCTCACGCTACTTTCGACTTCCTCAGAGACGTTTCAAAAATTTACTCTTTAACCCTTTTGATTCTAAATCCTTGGCAAATCTGGCCTGTCATGCAGGTGTTACTATAGGAAATTATGTGCCACGTAATTTAATCGCGTTAATTTTTCTTCAAGCTTATTTCCGCGCAATTCATTAAGTGGAGCGTTAATTTCCATTGACATTATTTTGGCCCCAAAACCTAAGAAAGAGGAGTATTTTATCAGGGTGGAGATCCGCTAGTATCGGTGAAAATGCGAAGGACACTCGAAGTGGCGCGATTTCCGCTAGCTTGAACCCCTTCAATTCGTACGTTTAGGGAAAATACAACGAGCAAAGCGTTCTTTTCGGATTATACGTTCAACTTTTTTCTGTTGACTCGACAACTGAAGTTTTGTTTCTTAGTGAACGTCGCGCCAATTTCCTTCATTTTGAAATGCAACCCTCCCTTTCGTGTTAAGTTAAGTTATTCGAATTTCGTTATTTCCTAGACCTTAATTTCATGGAGTGTTAATTTCCTATAATAAGGTATTAGGGCGGGCATCATATCCCCCTTCCCACAAGTAGGAAATAAACGAAAATCAATGCTTTTACCTCAACCCTTAAAGGGTGTCCGGCGGTATGGTTGCTCAAAAAATAGGAAAATAGGAAACTCCGGATTTGAGAAAACAGGAAAAATGGGAAAGTTTGTTTTAAAAAATATGACATAAACAAGAAAATCAATAGTACTTTCGTGGACATAGATAGCCTTCTTGCCTCCTGTCAGGGTTATAATAAAGGCTACGAGTCCTCAGCTTCTACGTTCGCAGGATTTAGATCAACTTTCACGGTTTAGAAGGAGTGAAAATGGTCAGTAACGTTTAGTTTATTGGCTCAGTTACGCTGTAATCAGAATCATATGCCTGACTACGGGTCGAGCGCGGTTCTAAAATCAAAGGTGGTCTTATGCAAATCCCCTTCAAGTTGGCGGCAAATCTTTGAAAAGCTTAAAAGAGTGAAATTTCTTACGATTTCGTTGTAATTGAAGGATATCGAACTAAAAAGTTCCATGGAGAGCTTTCCTTCCATTAATCTACAATCGGTAGATGGTTGAGAATGTGCCGCATAGGTTTAATTACCAAACCAGGCTTTCCGCGGTGTCTATACAAAATGACACTGATCTATTTGGCACCAGATTGTAAGTGTCTCATGGTTAAGTTCTAAGTTAACGCAACACTCCGCTTAGCTGTGACTGCAAGTCCGGTTAATTTTGGAACCAAAGTATTGGATCCTTCGTCAGTTGCTTAGATATAGCTGTTAACAAGAGGTCACCAAGAGAGCTAGTGTCGTAAACTAAACTTGAATCTGTTCTTTTCATGTAGCATACAGAATCCAGCTAGTGATCGGTTCTTCAAACAAGAGGCTGATTGGATGATTTATCTGATCTGTGTTGTGAAATGGCAACTGGATCATGTTTTCAGTTTCAAAGATGAACATAAAATCGAGCAAGACTTCAAAAAATATCATGTAGTGTACAGAGACTGAAATGCAGTGTCAGTGGGCTATGCACAATTATTATTCAATAGTCATAAGAACTATAACACTACATACAATACATGTAGGTGCACTAGAAAATTGTACAAAAAGTAACAATATAACAAAGTTGTTAACAGAACTCTAATGGGCAATAGAGGCAATAGATGTTTCTGTTGGTTTCCGTCCGTCATGTTGGAGCTCATCCAGATGAACTCCAGCATGGCGTCTCCATACAAAGCTCTATAAATTTGGGTAAAACATTTCCTCGGGTATCTCGTATACGAATTATTCCTTTGACCCAAATCTTGGCGAGGGTCTTTGTATATTTACCTCCTTTCATTTCCCAGATTCTGGACTTTACCTGTCGAATGGTTTTGATTTTTATTTTGATCTACTTTGAATGGCGTGACACTGAAAACCAGCTATAGAGACCAGTTTTGAGAATTTGTATGTAGATATTGGGGCTTTAAGAAAATAAAATGGAGGCATTCAAATTCACACGTAGAACGAAAATGTTACTAAAAGGCATTGTGCTCGATGGTACTGATTCATAACTATCATTTGGCTCCTCTTGATTATTCTGAGGTTGCGAATACCACAGCTATTGAGATCACTCTTATCAGAAATAGATCGCCTTGCTTGCATACCAGATGAACGGCCGGTAAAGGCACTCCCCTGTGAAGAACTGGCAGAGAGTTCTAGAAGAGTTGGTCGTCCTTTTCTAAGATTTAAGGACACTTTGAAGGATATCTTGAAGCGCAGAACAGTATTTCTCTCATGGAGAAACATTGTAGCAGACCTTTCGGGGTGGCGGAGGTTAAAACGTAACAGCTAGAGGTTTGCAATAAGATAGACGATGACAGACTGAAGGGCAACACGTAAAAGAGGGCGAAGCGCCATGAACGGAGAAGTGAGAGAAAATGAGCTGCTTTGGACGAACAATTACTACTGTTACTGATCCTGTAACTGTTTAATTTATACCCGTGTCAGGTTCAAGGCGCTGTTGTCAAGAAGCCAAATGGCATTTACACTAAAACGGGGCTCTGCCTCGAAGAACACCAAAGAAACTGCCAAATGGGAGGAAAGCAAGCGTCCGGCGTGTTTATATGTGTGTATTTTACTATTCTAGAGTTCTATCGACCCCAGCGTAGGAGGATCAGTACGGAAGGGAGCTTTGCAGAGACTCTGCTCTAGTGGCCTATCTTCCAATGAGGGGTTAGGGAGAGCAGGGTCACGGGCGGTCATTTTTGGGATCATAATACGTTTCTGCGAAACTGTCCACCTGCCCTTGCCCTAGGCAAACATTTTGCCCTAAGTAAGAAGTAAGTGTTAATGTTGGCTCAAGGAAGGGGTAGGTGAGCAGTTTCCAAGAAACTCATGTAGTGATCCCATTTTTGCCAGTTTTTATTTTTAGTTTTGTACATTAACAACAACTTTTTGAAAATCGCTTTTCAACTTGCACAGATATACAAGGATATAGGTTGGAATTTTAACTTTTGAGATAACTGCCATGTAGAGAAATATGAGGGTGGATTAAGTGCATGCACCAAAACAATATTTTACTTTTTAATGCTTTCTCTTTAAAAACCTAGCTATAGTGGGCAGAAGTGCTTGTAAGCAAGTTATGAAACATTTACCATCAACGTAACCAAAAACGCAAATTAATGGTTGAAAAAATGCGTTTAAAAAAAAAGAGCAGATACGAGGGTTATTTTTCACTATGGTTCTATAGTTCTAGTTTTTCCGCGTTCCTGAAATTTTCATGTAGTGGCAGATTATAACTTCCTATCTCTAATATACATCTAAATTCTTAATTTCGATAAACTTTATTGAAACAAAAAAAAATGTTACTTATTGAAGGGACTGAGGGAAAACTTTCGATATTAAAATCGCTAATAGAGAGATTAAGATTCACGTTTACAGCATACGGCAAACGGCAAACGTCAGTTGAAAATTTCTCAGAATAGAAAATAAGCAGATAAAAACAGTCCAGAACGATTCTTGTGGACAAAACTGGCATAAAACTACTTATTTTTGTGTAGAAGCAATAAACAGTAAACGAAAAACAAGGGGATCACTTGGTTACGTGGTACAAATTCACGTTTGCCGTTTGGCGTAAACGTGGATCTTAATCTCTCTAATATTTCTACGCCTTGATATCTCCAGGTCTTTGGATCCAGAAAAGGAAAACTACAATTTTTATGTGCCTGTTTGGAGAGCGGAGTACTTAAGAGACGACACTTACAAACATCTGGTTGCACTGGTCTGTATGGACATTATAACAGCCCTGCCGACGATCGTTCTGATTGCGCTAGTTATTTTTGCCTTGGCAACGAGGCGTCGACTGCGAAACAACTCCACCATACTTCTTGCTTCCTTAGCTGGAGCAGATTTATTGACAGGGATTGTTGTTCTACCGTTTGCCTTCGCAATAGACCTGAAGCGACTCCTTGGTTTTGACTCATTCTGTTCGCTAGAAAAGGCATTTACTGTGACATTAGCGATGGTAACTTGCGCTTCGATCAGTCACCTAGTCATGATCAGCATAGATCGCTACATAGCAATCAAATATCCCTTGAGGTACCAGGAAATTGTCACAGAGACGCGAATATTAATCAGTATTGTTCTAGCTTGGGGTTTCACGTTATTGGTGACAATCAGTGAACTTGTTCTGGCTCTAATAGACAGTGACAGCGTCTACTCTATATATTCACACGTGAACACCATAATACAAATTGCTATCGGTACTCTTTCCATTGTTGTTATTTCTTTGTCTTACGGTTACATTTACTCAGAAACTCGACGACAGGTTAAACGACTCAAAGCCGAACAACTGCCTCAAGAAGAAGTCCAAAGAATCAAAAATAACAGAACGGCAGCCACTACTCTGGCGATCATTCTGATTGCTTTAGTAGCCACTCATTTACCAACAATAGTAGTGACTGCTCTTTCAAGTAGCACTGCGGCACCGCCGCGTTTTATCTGTATCATTTGGAGCTGGGTAGGAGGCACTTGCGTGTTAGGTCCCCTGTGCAACCCCATTATTTACTGTTGGAGAATGAAAAATCTACGGCGCGCATTTCTCAAGATACTACATTTAAGACAACCTGAAAACACTCTGCCAGAAATAGAAGTGAGAGAAACTGAACGCCATCAACCTAGACCCAGTACAAACCAGGCCTTCCCTCTGCCCGCAATCGGGCAACCCGTCTTGCTATCAGTTCGTCATCTGCAAGCCGATTAATCACTCCACAAGTTTTTTTTTGTGAATCAACAACACTCTGACGATGTTATGAAGTGATTTTACTATCAATAAACAGAAAGGACGGAAACATGGCGTCAATAAGTCGAAAAGACCATGGACATGAAGCAAGGATGGCGCAATTTGTTTTCTCCTGCCTCTCGCCCGCGATCTTTCAAGAAACGTCGTCGAATTGAAAATGGACGATAACAATGGTACTGTAAAAGGTCGTCCTCTAACTGCGATAATTTCCTTTGCATTAGTCAAGCACCAGTCGTTCTTCAAAATAGATGCAAAAATAGATGCAATTTATAAACGTATAACTAATTTGATATAATCTCCTCTTTACGCCGTGAGTGAGGCGTATCAATTCTCCAATGTACCCCAAAACGTAGGTTTATGGCAACTGCGGGTTGTGTGAAATACCTTCATTTTCAATTTTGTTAGCAATTTGTATTCCTTGCATCTATTTTACGTGCGCTAATAATAAATTGCTGTTCTTGTTATTTTCTTGTTGTTGTTGTATCAGGCTGAAACAAGACTTGAGAATTTGCTACTTCGGTTGCCATGTTTTCAATTCAAAAGCTAAAAAATAGCAGTTTTCAATAGGCCACTTCCGAGTTCCAAGAACCCTCACTTTCACAGCACGGTATTGTTTTCTATTTCGTTTTGTTTGTATAGAGCTTGTTTCACTCATCTGATTTCTTCAAATTTGAGTTTCAATCTATGTTTATGGTACTATGATCAATTGGTCCACTTTGATAAAGGAATTAATGCAAATGTATATCGTCATAGTCTCTGGGAGTATTCTAAACATTTCCACTGTTCATTTGAATGGCATTCGACATTTCATATAATGTTATCTATATCGAAACCTGTATTAGGAGGACACCCTGTATTAAGCGGACACTACAGCATTCCGCAAGGGTGTCCGCTTAATACAAGTTTCACTGTATTTCGTTCGCGATGAATATTTCATATGAATATTTCATATCTTTTTGTGTTTTCGAGAATTTTAAGAAACCTTTTGAGAAAAACTCACAAAGACGAGGAAAAACGAATCAAACCGAGTTTCCGTAGTCAAATTGTTTAAAACAAAAACAAGATTACCTATAGACAACTTGCACTTAGCTAATTGGCTGTAGGTTGCTTCCAGGCTGTTTTTTTTCTTGTTTTTTACTTTAGCGCATGCAAGGTGGATCTTCCGACTTTTTCTCGCTGGTTTTTCGTTTTGCAATGTTTTCGGCGACGTAATATGCTACACCGACTAACGGATCAGTCAATGGCATCTCAAATCGACTTCATTGAATCGCTTCGCCATTTGTCGTGCAAATCAGCAAATGCTTAAAATTAACCACTAAAAATTCATTATCAAAATCTGATTGTCATTGCACAGGACGTTCCAGGTTTCAACAAGTAAAACTTGTCATAGTCACATTCAAACGTCATCGTAGCCAACACACTTTGTCTTTACGCGCATATAGCGCTACAGGTCCTGCGTTTACCCATGGTTTACCGTTAGGCTATTAAGAAACTGTCGCTTTCTTTTCTCAAATTTGCTACTCGTAAGGCGCATCTACATCTGTTAAATCACTAGTTCCGGTGTCACCTGTGTAGGAGAGCGTTCCCACCATTTTGGAACGAAACAAACCAGTGGAGGAAGTTGTAAAAGCGTCGATTAAAATTTTTGCTCCAACGTTTTGAAAAGGCAAAAGTAATAGAATTACCAAGCAAAGGACTACTGAGGATTTGATATAATTTTAAACGGAGCGGGTGACAAACAACGAAAGCAAGCTTCAGTATAAAGTTACTAATTCTGCAATGCAATTAATTGTGTAAGAAACATAGATTTATAAGCGTACAAATTATTATATAAATAACTGAATTCTTATTATGTAATGCTTACATTCCTTAACCACCACCTTCCTTGTCGTAGCCACTGCCAGATGTTAAGATTTTCCTAGTCACCTGACCCAAAAAAAAGAAAAAAAGAAGAAAAACAGAGACTGGGAATTTTCTACTTCGGTAGCCAATTTATCCATTATAGTGCTTGTGCTTGTGCACTTGACACAAGACTGACTTAATGCTTGCGCTTTTGTTTGAGTTCACGCTTGCATCACTAATGAAAACAGAACTTAATGGTTATTTCTCTATAGAACTATATGCCGCCATGTTCGAAAGGGAAAACTTTATACAATCCACTTAACAAATTAAACTCGAAGCTAGCGGCCACGCATTAATTTACTTCTTTTCTTTCTTTGACTTTCACAAAACCTTTCTTGTTATTTTAGACGAAATGAATCTGATATTAGGCCCGGTGCAGACGCCGACATTTTCATGAGCCGAACCTAAACCATTGAATTAAGTACATGAAAAGTTCGGCGCCTGAATCAATAAGGAACGCCTATTTCAATTTGGAGCCGTTCTTCCCGCCTAGCCCGACCGGGAATTTCGCCTTTGGAGCGACTTTGGAACGGCTTTGATTCAGACGCCGAACTTTTCATGTGCCGAACCTAATGCATAAATTATTATGTTATTTAATATATTTGCAAGCAGTTTAACTCTGAGAGCAGTTTTCTCTTTTTGAATTTAGTTCGGCTGGAATCAAGATCGGCGTCTGAATCATTTGGGTCGGCCTTCATTCCAATTAGGTTCGTTTGTGCATCGATAATTACTATCGTTCAATTAAGGAAAACACAGTCAGAGACAAGGAAGAGAAAAAAGGAAACTGGCCTTTACCAGTCAAAGAAACAAACCGCCTAATTGTATAAGACAACCAAATAAAAAGATCATGATACCCCAGGCCTATAATTAATTCCCACTTAAAAAAATGATAATTAATTGACTACATTGTCCTTTTAGGCTTATATTTTTCTTTACTGCATGCAAGGTGGACCTTCCCACATTTCACGCAAGTTTTTCATTTCATCAAGATTACGGCGACGTAAAATGCTACAGACTAACAGGTCAGTAGAATGAAATTATAAATCGCCTTCATTGCCTTGCTTCCCCATGTGTTGCGCAAATCAGCAAATGCTTCAATTAACTACTGAAAATTCATTATCAAAATCTGATCCGCATATTGCACCGTACGTTTTTCGTTTCATCAAGATTTCGGCGACGTAAAATGCTACAGGCTAACAGGTCAGTTGAATGACATTGTAAATCGCCTTCATTGCCTTGCTTCACCATGTGTCGTGCAAACGAGCAAATGTTTCAATTAACTACTGAAAATTCATTATCAAAATCTGATCCGCATTGCACCGTAAGTTCCATTTAAAAGAAAGTTTAAACAAGTAAGGCTTAATCTAGTCACATTAAAACGTGCGGAAGCCAACACATTTACCCTTTAAGGCAAGTCCCGCGTTCACTATGAGACTTAAAAATGGCCGGTTTTTGTTTTTTCCTCAGAGTCATTGCTTGTAGGTTCGATAGGCGACTTGAAGTTGTCCGCAGTCTCAAGCCACACGTATCCGATGAAAACGGTCGGCGAAAAAGCAACTTTTCAAAAACGCTCTTAGCGGTGAAAATATGTTGAAAGCCATTTCCAGTACTCGCGTGTGGAGGAAAGATTACGGAAATTTTCGAAAACGATGACATAACAGTATCTGGTCTCAAGTGGGCGAAAAATGATTCCTGCACCGCCATATTTCTTCCTATAAGACTACAGAAAATGTTAATTTTGTTTTGCTCTCATGCCCAGGTAAATGTTCAAATTAGCTTTCCAGAATATGGCTACTTGTACCAATGGTCAGGGTTAGGTGGTAATGAAGAATTTAAATTCTTAAAAGACGGAATTCATCGGGAAATTGGGTAATTCTAATTTTCAGTCGACAAAAACCTTGAACTAGACTGATATTTTAAGCCATATCGTATTTCTTTTTCTTTTTTACACTTTTCAAGTGCTATAGATGTAATTTGTAATCTATAATAACACCAAACACAATTTCTTATGGAAGCCCGAGAGAATAAATATCAAATTCACGGGAATTAAGAAAACACAGGTAAAATCGATCTATCGTCATGCTTAAGATTTCATTTTGTGAAATTTGAAGCTTTTGAAGTTTTTTTTGGTGCAAATTAGGGCTTTTGTTATTTAAAGCTCGCTGGGATTACCAAATTTAAATGTGAAAACGAAAAGGATTCTGTAGGCCGTAGTAGTAAAATGACGCCGTGACGTCATCAATTTACATGTCAACGGTTTTTTGTGATAAGTGCACAAGACTGTTCTTTTTTGAACATCGACTGCATTGTAATCGAAAAAGAACATGATTATTCAGATTTTTGTAAACCAATTCACCTGCAGTTGACCAAGGTCTCCTTTCCAGGGTAGGGTCGTGAAAAAAGGTCCAAACGTTAACCTTATGCGCATGTTACGTTTACTTTTCAATACTAAGAATCCAGTTGTAGTGAAAAAGTGCTTTGCTAGCAAAGTTGAGGAAATTTAGCACCATAGCAACTGTTACACTTTGTTCTACAAACTGCGACCTCCTGTCTCCCCCTCCCCAAGCCCCTGCAATTTCAATGGCAGAAAATATCTATCTATATTGATCTACACTAATTTGATATCCATCTAAGCTTTCATTAATTTCGATAAATTTCTTGAAACAAAAATAAACTGTTGCTGATCATCGATGGACAACTTCCGATGTTAAAATTCCTTATATTTCTACCCTTATTCTCTCCAGGTCTTTGCATCCAGGAAAAGAAAAGTGTAATTTTTATGTACCTGTTTGGCGAGCGGAGTACTTACGAGACGATACGTACAGACATCTGGTTGCCCTGGTCTGTATCGATCTAATAGCAGCACTGTCAACGATTCTTCTAAATGCGCTGGTCATTTTTGCCGTGGCAACAAGGCGCCGACTGCGAAACAACTCCACCATACTACTTGCCTCTCTCGCAGGGGTAGATTTGCTAACTGGCCTTGTTGTTCTACCGTTTGCCTTCTCGCTAGACCTTAAGCGACTGCTTGGCTTTGACTCATTCTGTTCGCTCGAAAAGGCATTTACTGTGACATTAGCGATGGTAACTTACGCTTCGATCAGTCATCTAGTCATAATCAGCATAGATCGCTTCATAGCTATCAAATATCCCTTGAGGTACCAGGAAATTGTCACAGAGACGCGAATAATATTCGGTATTGTCCTAGATTGGGGTTTCACGTTATTGGTGACAATCAATGAACTTGTTCTGGCTCTAATAGACAGTGAAAGTATCTACTCTATATATATGCTCGTGAACACCATAATACAAATTGTAATTGGAACTCTTTTCATTATTGTTATTTCATTGTCTTATGGTTATATTTACTCAGAAACACGACGACAAGTTAGACGTCTCCTCTACGAACAACTGCCTCAAGAAGAAATCCAAAGAATCAAGAAAGACAGAAAGGCTGTCACTACTCTGGCATTCATTCTGATTACTTTAGGACTTACTTATTTACCAGCAATAATAACAGGGATACTGACTACTTCTCCAGGTAACAGCGTCGGACCGCCGCGTGTTCAACGCATCACTTGGATCTGGGTAGAACTTTCTATCATGTTGGGTTCCCTGTGTAACCCTATTATTTACTGTTGGCGAATGGAGAACCTACGGCGTGCATTTCTCGAGATACTTCATCTAAGACAAACCAAAAAAACACACCCAGGAATAGAAATGAGAGAAATGCAACGCCATCAACCTGGACCAAGTACAAACCAGGCTTTCTCGCTGCCCGCAAACGAGTAACCCGTTTTGTTTTTTAGTCATCATCTTGTCATCTGCAAGCCGAATACATCACTCCACAAGTTTGTCGTCGATCCACTCAACTGCAGCTCGTCGATCCGCAACACTCTAACAATTGGTGCACCAATTACATGAGGTGACTGGGGACTCAGGACCTTATGGAACTGGCCACCTCTTTGAAATATGACGAAGCGAAAGAAGAGTTAATTTCATGCCCTGGTTAAGGTGGATGTTTTAAAAAATGCTACTTCGAACAACCTAGCTAGTCCATCTCAATGGTTCTTTCTATTACTCTCAGTACTTTACTTTACTTTAAAATCGATCTGTAAACAAGCCTCACTCTGCAATTCTATTTTGCCGCCATAACTCAAATTGTAGAGTCAGTAGAGTCACAATATATTTAAACGGACACGGCTGCATCGCTTTCTTCTTCTTTGACAATTCAGGGGACACACTGAGTGAGATAGTTGAAGACCTTACAACTGAGAAAATCGCCACTGTGCTCATTTTTGTCCTCGCTATGCCAGTGTCCACTGCATGCGACTTCAGAGGGATGATTTTGCACTATGAGAGGAGTGAAAACATTCGTGCGATCTGCGACCAGTCTATCTTTTGCCCGAAAATCTGTGTATCGCTCTCCCCCCCCTTTATGGACCAAAAGAGAGACTTCTAGCAGTCTACGATGCTGAAAGAACGACTGATCCTTAGCTCTAGTGAACAATCCAGATATGGAGAGTGATACTCGCGTCTACAGGTGACCTTGAGAGTTCTTTATGTAATATTCGAGACTTATCATGGTAAAATATTCCTGACATTCCTTCCAGATACTGCCTATGACAGGATTCTCTTTAACTGAAAGAGCCCGTCTGTTGATAAGAACTCACTCACTCAAGTCAGTTAAAAGTTGGCTTGCTACTATGTACGTCGTCAACCTGGCTACACCCCTGATCCCTACTGTCGACCGTAAATGATCCCGAGAGCAAAATCAGATAGGCTCGGAGTCAAGTTACTGGATCATCAGAACAAAAAGTTATTAATTGTTTGTTCAGACAATTTTTCTTTCGTCTTTCACAAAACTGGCGTATTTTTCCCACCCCTGTTCTTCTCCGAATACTGTTGATTTTTTGAAACTCATTTGAAGAAGACAAAATGAAGACAAAACGCGATGGTGAACAATAAAACAATAAAATAGAATGCTCTTTCCGCGAAAAGTTCGCGTAAGGATACCTTTTTACCCACGGTAGAATTCGGCCACGGTGTCGGTACCCGGCTGCAAAGTGGGCACTGGGTCTCTGTGTGCAGACCGTTTTTGTTAGTTCCGGATCAGTCCACTACTTTGTACTCGCTGCTAAGTTTCTGTTTTAAAATGGCGTCTGACAAGGCGAAATGGAGTAACTAAGTACACAGTCACATGGGGTACTCAAGGTGTGAGCACAGCACCATTTTGTGCGGGTAACCAGGCACTTGTTCCCGAACACCAAATGTGGAAAGCGCCTTAGTTTAGGTTTTGTTATTTTAAAAATTCGCTCAAAGTCCATTCATTACTGTCATTATGGTTACATAATAAATCGCGCCTTTTTCGCTGCAAAAAACAAAGTGAAATGGTTTGATACTTCATTGGTGTTTACATAATCAGTAGAACCATGAACGAGTGAAAAATTTTTCGACACCAGAAGAGAAATTTCGTATCTCGTCGCGGATAATGTGTTTCTCTAGTGGTTCAAAGTCATTTACAGTGAGAGTAGCGCAGGCTTAAAAGAATTGTCATGAGTCATGGGTCTGAGCCGGGAAACTCACATAGAGAAGTGTCGGGGATGCTCGTTGTTTGGCTAAGGCAATGTGCACACTATACTGGATAGCTTCGGGTAGACACGAAAACCTTACCGGATAGCTTCGGGTAGACACGAAAACCTTACCGGATAGCTTCGGGTAGACACGAAAACCTTACCGGATAGCTTCGGGTAGACACGAAAACCTTACCGGATAGCTTCGGGCCGACACGAAAACCATACCCGATAGCTTCGGGCCGACACGAAAACCATACCGGATAGCTTCGGGCCGACACGAAAACCATACCCGATAGCTTCGGGCCGACACGAAAACCATACCGGATAGCTTCGGGCCGACACGAAAACCATGCCGGATAGCTTCGGGCCGACACGAAAACCTTACCGGATAGCTTCGGGCCGATACGAAAACCTTACCCAATAGCTTCGGGCCGACACAAAAACCTTACCGGATAGCTTCGGGCCGACACAAAAACCATACCCGATAGCTTCGGGCCGACACGAAAACCATGCCGGATAGCTTCGGGCCGAAACGAAAACCTTACCGGATAGGGCTTCTGATCCCACATAAGAACGGTGATTTCGGCGCGATATCTGCAACGGAGCGAAGCTGCGCCGCGCCGGTCTCTAAAGTGGAGACTCACACATCGGATAGATTCTATACCACACTTTGGTGCAGTGTGAACAAGTATTCGGCCCGTAGCGGAAGTGAATAATTGGCGAGCTTAAGTAACGACTAACGCTGACGTCCCGGACGTTATGATTAGCAACCGGAAGTTCGATGTCTTGCTTGTTGGAACGATTCTATCTCACCCTACGAATCTGAATACCTTTGTTTTAACTCCCCCTCTACGGATTTGTCGAGTCAGAACTTAAGGTCTGCTTAAGGTCCTTATTAGGAACGAGGATTGGAATCCACTGAGACGGAAGTAAATATTTAGGAACGAGGAGTGGGACCCTCTCGGCCAACCGCTCCGCCACGATGATCGCTTTACTGTTTTTTACGTATTTGTTAAGCTCTGGAACCACTGTAATTGGCTTACCGCTGTTGTGGCACCCCTGCCTAATTAAGCATTTATTATATTATTTTTTGTTTTCTTATCATGCAATAGGCGAAGCTAATAAAATAAAATAAAATAAAATAAATATAAGCTATATATTAAGTATGGGCTGCGCCGTTTTGGTCTGAAAACGGGAAAAGACTTTGCCCATTTTGGTCTGGAGTCGGGTATGGTTACGAGGAAACTACGGGAGTATATGAACGTATTTGTCGTTTCAATTCCAAATGAATAAAAAAGAAAGAGTAATCCGCATTCAAATAGATTTTACGAAATCTTTCTACATAATTTCTGCCCATGTAAACGCTGCGTTTTGTGACCACGTCCAGGTCTGAATATGGGTATGTAGACTTAAAAACGGGTGAGGAAAATAACATTTTCGGGTCTGAAACAGGGTCGGGATTTGGAGAACCGGGTGGCACACCCCCACCAACAATTCCCAGGAGTACCCAAGGGGCTCTTAGGGTGTTCAGAACCGACCACCAATACTTTCTTTTTACCTATAAAGGTATCGCTTAGGGCTGCGTGTAAGAAACTACAGTTGAACCTCTATTAAGAGGCCAGTAATCAACGTCACGAAATAATTGTGAATTAAACCTCTATTAAACGGCCACTTAGGGTCCGCGGCCACCTTATGGCCATCCCGACGAGAGTTCTCCGATTGTTATCACCTCTATTAAGCGGCCATCAAACACTTGATACACTTAGGGCCTGTTTACATGGAGGTGGGGGACCCCAGGTAGGTGAGTTAACCCGCTTAGGTGGGGTAATTAACCCGCCTGTCCATATAATCTGTCATTTTAATTTGATCATGTTTACATGATAGGTGGGGTGACCATACGAGATATTATATGGACAAGCTGGTTACCCCACAAAAGGCTGTTACCTTAGTTACCTGGGGTCCCCCACCTCCATGTAAACAGGCCCTCAGTTTGGCTTTACATGATAGATATGATGAAGGAGAATACAATTCGAGATAGAAGGTGACGACCAAAATTTGCATACTCGGCGTATTTGAGTCCAAACGCAGTTAGAGCGGTTTTCATTTGAGTGTCGAAAAGTAATTGGTTTTGCACTTTCTACCCGATGCGATTGGCTTAAAAGATTCGCGCCACCTTTTCATCCAATCAGAAGTAAAACCAAAGCCAATTGTGACGCGCTCGCATGCATTTTCCCGCGCTTTGCGTCAGCCACATGTAATTACTTCGAGTTTTGATTGGTTCAATGTATTGTCTGTGTCCTATGTGATTGGCCAGAGTAATTACTTTGGTTTTGGTTTTACGACACTCAAACGAAAACCACTCTATGCCAACGTTCAACGTTAGCTTAAATATAGTTTCGTACCTTTGTCTATTTACATGTAACAAGTTCAGGAGTTTGTCAGCGGGAGAAGTGAGTTGGAAGGACTCTTAAATCAGAGATAGCGCAAGCCACCTATACGAACTCTGAATTCAATTGTGCCGTTGTACGGCAAAAAAGGCCGGACTAATTATATACGCATTATTGTATTGTATTCAATGCACGGGCGGTTCGTGCAAAAAACAAAAGAGAACAACGTTGATAATCATAAACCTCTACCCACCTTTTGGCTAAATTAATGTTTGAGAATTTTGGGGTGATTTTCCGAATGTTTTCAGCGAATAAAAATTGGGCGTATGGAAATTGGAAAACATTGCATTTGGGGGGTTGTTGGAAATAAAAAATATGAAAGGAATATTTAGTAGACAAATATCAGATAGTCCACCACCACAACGTGCCCCTGAACTCATTAGCGGACTAACTCGTTTATGTGTATACCTTTTTCTTCCCATTTTCCTTTCATCTATCATTCTCAAATCAACCCCACTTCACCCCAAAAAACAAGCAGAATGCCCCCTTACGAACCGTGAAGTGTTGAGAAAACGTGGATGGACTTCACAGTGTGGTATGACAACTACATTTTACTTATACAGTAATTATAGTTATTAAAAACTGAATCATTGGATAATGCAATTCTAGAGCTCTAATTGGCTAAGCCATAGTGGTATATGAGCCATTATACTATGCTCTCCAAATATGGTAACTGTAGGCGTCTGCTCAAAATTAAAAACAAGCTGAAAATCGGTTATTTTTACACTTCAAGTCGGGAGGAATTCTCGATATTTTGTGGGCGTTTTCAATAAAACAATTATTCCACCCACGCTTGTTGGATATGAGATGATTATAGCCAACAGGAGCCTCGTTGGCTATCTACCATCTCGTATCCAACGCGCACTCGTGGAATAATTGTTAAATAATTATGCAAATGGTGAATATGTTATTATCCCCTCCCTCGGGGCTTTATGGTGCAGTTTACAATTAACGAAGTGATGAGTTATGAATGCCCCCTAGTTTGAATAAGTTGCTACTTGCAATAACGTTACGCTGCGTTCGTTTTAAACCGTGAACGTGATGTCCTTTTGTTGCGTAATATAATTTCGTTGCAGTGGAGTGAATTTCATCACGTTGAGTATAAAATCGAATAAACAGCGCAAAGACAATATTTGAGTGTTCTTTATTTCACCAATTCGTTTGACGCTATTGATAAAGCATCAATACCACAACCTGTTTCTAGAAGAACAATTTATCCACCCGTTGACTTTTCAACTTTTGATAAAAATTATTTCGTTTTGGGGTTTCCTTGGTAATGTAAAGAGCCTTTAAAAATCCCTTTTTTAAAGAACGTGTTTACATCTAGAGTTTGGTTTCTCAGATCCCTTAGAAATAACTGGGAAACTTTAAACAAAAATATATACATTTTAAATCCCTGAGGAACCTAGAAAGCCTTTTTCTCTTACCAGTGGGAAATTAAAAATTGCGCGAGCTTCAAGATGCGTGGGAAATTTGTACAACAAAACAGTTGGATATTCCTCATGCAGTGGAACCTCGATATAACGAACCTCTATATAACGAAGTCCTCGGTATAACGAATAATTTTCTTTACCCCAGTAACAGTAAAATGCATAATGTATAAAAAAGAACCTCGATATAGCGAACAAATTTTGCCATTCCCCTGGCACAGCGCCTTGAGGCTCTAAAATATTACTTTCCATTTTCCCGAAGTTTTAAAGGGTATTGATTAAAACCTTGAACAATTACACGTACGCAGTAAATTAAAATTAAATAAAACGTTCGAAAGGTTTACCCTTATCGACTCGAGGGGGTCGTTTTTTGCTCTAAATAGTAGGTCCATTTGACGGTTTCGGAGTTCTATTGTCTCAAGTACCACAGCTCTGTTTGCAAGTTTGTGCCCCCACCATACAAACCTCTGTAAAGTTTTGCGACTTTGAGATTCTACATCTTTGTTAGTTCAGTTCAACAAATCACTTTCAAACTTGGCAATTGTGCTCTTTCCACTGGTGTTGATGGATTTTCCCCAACTTGTGCATGTCAAAAGTTGAAAAAAACGGTGGTTATTCCTGATTAATTCATTATGCCTTGAAGGTGTTTCAAGACCTGTGGTTTAAAATTAACACTAAACAAATTTTCTAAACTTTTATTCTTGGCTCAGAGAAAAAATGAAACATAAAATAAGCAGCTCATCAAATTTAACCCTTTTACTGCCAGATTTAACCAAAAGCAAATCTCGACCAAATTTCCAAATTTCACCGTTTGTGAAATTTCGAAAAACAAATAACACCATGTGACAGTACAGGCAGAGAGCTTTCATAGGATGTCGTCCACAGACTCAAAAGTTAGAACTACATACTAACCAAATAATACCATGTGTAAGTACAGGCAGAAAACGTTCATTGAATAGTCACATCATACGATTTCATCCGCAGAATCAAAAGTTAGAGTCACCTTACAAAACCTAGACTACGAGTAGTCCCCCATATTTTCTCAGGGATAATAGGACGAGCGAGTAGAGAGAGAAAAATTCTCTCTCCCCGCCGCGTGTCGCCTTTTCTCGCGTGGGATGATTTTCACGCGCGCTCGCGTTCGCTCGCCCTACTATCCCTGAGAAAAAATGGGGGACTACTCGTAGTCTATACAAAACCCCATCAAACACTCTGGCAGTGAAAGGGTTAAAGGGTGTGTTTACGAAACCTAAAGAAGAAATAGATACTGCCTTACGATAGTCTCTGAAAAAAACATATGTTTAAATAGAAAACGAATTCTTCTCTTCCAGGCACATTTCCGGGGTTTCGTAATTTGAAGGCGTGCTTTCCAATGGTGCCAGTTCCGCAGTTTCTTAGTCCGGGCCAAAATGAAAAATTTCATTAGCAAGAATATTTACTGGTTATTGTTTGAAAGTGTGATCTTCCTTTCAATAATTTTTGTTGAGTTGTTTCTGTCTTTAATGGCTTTAATGTCACAGGCGAATATTTAACCAGAAATATCAAATTCTAATTTCAACGTTTTTCTTTTAACAGCCTAGAACATGCAACTGATTTGGAATTTTGTAAAAGAAAAAAAGGGGAGAACAACATCTGAAAAAGCTCAATTTCTGATCTACATGAAACATCAAACTCTACATCTACGTGATGGAGAAACCAGTAAAATTGCATTTTGAATGCCGCTATGAACATTTCTAAGGTCTGTATACAAACAAAAATTATTAGGAGCCTTCGCTCGACAGGTGGGCAAATATCGATTAACATTTGAAATCAATTTGTTACAGATGAGTCTTGTACGTTCTTGAATATTATGTTGCATTGACAGCAAAACAATACTGTTTTAAAAATGTTGCGATTTCGGCCTTAATTAAAAATGGCAACGGTCGTAAATAACCTGCAGTTGTAGCTATGTCTCTGTTTTCAAAGTCATCTGAGAGTTGATAACAATAACTGTATAAAAATCTACGTATTTTCACAGTAAGTTTACATCATCTTCATTCTATAACAATAACCGTAAACATAAAAAACGAAAACCTATTAGGAATTCTTCTCGCGATTTTAAAAACAACAGGATATACAGGGTGGTTCGTATTTTACGATCTATGGGTCAAATTTCTCCAAGTACTTTCCTGTGATTAAAACTAGCAATTTTGAGTGGCGATGTATTAGGCCTTGTAGGCGCCAACTTTGAACACGTCAAGGGGAAAGTGATCTTAATCTGGTAATCGTGCTAGTAGATCTGATTGTCTTCATTCAGGCTACATGTTAATTGTTGCAGCCGCCAAACCAGAAAGATTCATCTGGTTGCCCCACGTTTTCGTTTAGGACTAGAACAGTTTTGTGACTTGAATATCACGTCTCTGTTCAGTCACGTTGTGGCAGGCAAGCTACGAAGCCTCAGGTGCTTAGTTCTCCTTGGTGCGCTGCCTTCGCTACGTGTTCTAGTTCTCCTCTCGGCGACAGGAGTCAGGACGTCGTCTATAAGGATACAATAGCCACCTTTGTTTTCCGGGGCAGACCTTCCGTATTCCGCGGTAAATTTGCGGTTCTCAGGGGGTGTGTCGGACTTGTCCGAGTCATTTTCATCCGCGCTGTCCGCAAACTTAACGCAGTTCTCTGTGTTCAAGCTTACTGAGGATTTCACGGTTTGCGGCGAAATATTCCATTCGGGAATGTGCAGCATGACTTCTTCAGGATCCACGGTCCTTTGATAACTTACTAACCTCACAGCGTCACTGGAGTCCTTATCTAAGCCCTCAACCCTCCGCAGCGATAGCCTTCCGAAACGCCTCCCTATCAGCTGACTAACAGGCAAACTCGCTGTTTCTTTCTTTTCCGGTTTGTTTGCTTTCTTATCGTTGGTGGCCTTTCCTGAATTCGCCTTACTATTTCCTTTAGTCCCGTGGAACCCACCTCGTCTTGCAAAAACGCGCATTTGCCGTTCTTCTGTTCCAGGAGTAAGCGCAACGCCGTTCGCCGCTTCCACGGGGCTTTTCTTTCGCTGAAACGCTTTAAAGCTCACGTGGAACATATCCTTACAGCCAGCTCTGAATTTCTTGTTAAAAAGCGCATAAATGAATGGGTTACAAATGCTGTTGCACAATCCCAAAGAATACGTGATCAACCGAGTATAATCCACATGACTCGACGAGGAATTGACGGCTGATTCAATAAACGAGATGTACAGCAACAGTGGCAGCCAAGTCACAAGAAAGACAATTATAACGGTCAGGAACATTTTCAACACCTTTTTTCTGCTGCGGATGAAAGCTTCTTCAGGTCGAGAATCGCCCAACTGGCCGCTTTTGCGCCTCCAAACAGTCTTGTATATTTTGCCGTACAAAACAATCAGCGAAACCAGGGGTATTAGGTAACCGAAAAGAGCCAGGAAATAGACGTAAATGGTGTTCGGTAGGGTGGTAGCGGGAATGGTAGCACAATAAGTCAGGCTTTCGTTCGTGACTGGATCCACTGCCGTTTGTGCCAGCTTTGTCAAGTAAAGGCTCGGAGCAACGACTGTGAGAGCGTAGACCCAGGCGGCAAGAATCAACTTATTCGCAGTGCCATACGTCATTATATTCAACGGGTGCACGACAGCTTGGTGCCGGTTCCAACCGATGGTGATAAGCAAAGTCATGGATGCTTCAGGAGATAAGTACTGGAAAAACCGCGCTATCTTGCAAACCGCCAGGCTTGTTGTGTCGTTGACCATTTTGTCGTTGAAATTCACAAACAAAAACAAGGGAATTGCGAGCACGCTAACGACCATATCACTGATAGCGAGATGAAGAATAAAGCGGTTCATTACTGATTTGAGTTTCTTCGCCCTCATTATTACAGCGATGACAAGCCCATTGCCCAGAAATCCCACCACAGAGGCCACACTAAGACAAAGAATGATCCCAATCTCGAATCCTTGATGGTGTTTTTCGATTATTCCAACATGTTCGTGATCTGAGTCGGAATTGTTGTTTGAGAACGCCATCTCTCGGGACTTGAGTAAGACAAAGCGATTTCTGTCTCGTAGTCGCGTTTTGTGTTCGAATCACATATATTTGCGTTCGAATCCCGAGTAAACTTTTCGGACAAACACTGGTTATAAACAGTAACTGGTGTGAAATCCAAGGTTAACGTACTCACGTAGGGTCGGCAGCGATCGTAAAATTATACAACCTCTCACGTTACAAATAATGTGCTTCACGCGGTCCTCGCTGAACGTGACCTTTCAAGAAACTTCGTAATTCGGTGAGCAAATCTTTGTGATGGATTAGGGACAGCAAATGTTGACTCTTACGGTATCCCCATGCGAACTCCACGGATAATCTTCAGATAAGAAGCGCGAACTCGGTTAACACTCGCGCAAATAGAATGATGTTGTGATTGGCAAGGAGTTGAAGAAACCAATATAACTATATTCGTAATTTTGATAGTCACGCCTCAAACAAAGAGATCAGTGATGTATTGAAGCACGGTTCACTGATATCCAGATCAGTTTTTTAACAACAGTTGTCTTTGTGATGTAATCTACTAACGGTGTTATTGATGAAATTAGTTCTATCGGTTTCGCTCTTTTGTAGTTTCAGTGGGATATCTTCTGAAAACTGAATCATGTTTGAGTTTTTTAAAAAAGGCTTGCAAATCAATTTTGCCTCTTAGCTACTCTAGCGCCTAATCCGCACCCACTTCTGATTGGGTAATTCGTTGCTAATGACGTTCCTTTGTGTAATATTTGCAACACAAATAATTAACAAAAGACCTCGCTTTGATATTTGGGGTTTTGTGTACGCATTTTTATTTTATTTCATATTTGTGAGAAAATACTAAGAACCTTTTCGACAAATGATCTTCCACGTATGTCAATTACAACCTGTATTCGCAATTTACAGTAGCTATTAATAAATGGTTTGGCCAGTAAAAAAATGAGCAAAGCGACCTAAAACGGCTAAAAGTGAAATTAACAGCCATTAGATAAATACTCGCTCAATGAGCAGGTGTACTCGGTAAAATCCATTTAAATGGTAAATATCAAGAACAGTTGATAGCATTTTCGATTGAAAAAAGTGTTTTACAAATAAACGTCGTTATAAACAACGGAGAACAGGATTTAGTTAAAATAATAAAGAAAGAAAAAACTCGATTCTAGTTTACCACTTCATTTCGCATCAGATTAAATCGGTGAAAACAGAAATACCCTAATCCCCAAGTCACGAATCATGATTTACTTAAGCCCCTCAAAGAGCTCGCTACATGCTGCAATTGATAACGGCGCCGTATATATTTCTCTTGGCGCAAAACAGTTGGTTTTACGCTGCAAGAAACAACGTTGACTTTTGACGAGGACTAATTTATTGATTGATTAATATAGGACTACTGTGATCTGATAGTGTGTGTAGAGAGAGCCCATTGTTTCATCATTCCGTTCGACTTAAGAGAACGGATGCTGTTGTGGGCAGAAGTACTTTGCATGAAAAATGATGATTATTAAATATTATTAATCGTTGTCAGTACTATCACGCTTGGGCAGATTTTCATTGTAGAAAGTACCTACAACGAAAGAGTGGACCTGCTTAAAATATTATTTTAAAAAAGGGAAAAATTCGAATTATTTTCATTAAAACAGAGGCCAGCCTACCGGTGACGGTTTGTTTCTTTTTTTTGGTATCGTGATGAGTCAGCGACAGTCTGCGTGGGAGGCCTGTCACAGCTGCATGCAACTCGAGTTTATTTTATTATTCCAGCGTTCACGCTAAGGTTTGGTATATAGTATGTTATACCGGTATACAAATCCAAACAAGGAGAGATTTAAATGCCCCATGGGTAATGTTCAATGGGAAGTGCACTACAGTTATCTATGGAGGTAATCTATCAATTCGCCATAAGCATATCTAATGAAATGAGTTCCAATAACCATATACAGCACAATGAACACCGAGGTTTCGTATACAAGTATCTACAAATCCAAACAAGGGGAGATTTAAACCTGGGGGGTATTCCTGGGAATTATTGGTGGGGGGTGTGCCGCCCGGTTCTCCAAGTCAACACCCTATTTCAGACCAAAAAATGTAAATATTCATACCCGTTTTCGTACCTGACCTCTAAGAAATTATGTCATCATTACTTCGATTAAAACAGCAGCAAAAAAAGATTTATTAAAATCCATTTCGAAGTCGCATATTTCTCTTTCTTTCTTACTCACTTGGAATTGAAACGATGAATACGTCCATACACTGCCGTGGTTTCCTCAAAAACCATACCCGATTCAAGACCAAACTGGGCAAATATTGTACCCAAAAGCAATAATATGGCCCTTGCTATATCCGTTTTAAGACCAAGACGGCGCAAAACCCTACCCTTTAGGGCGGCACATACTACATGGCTTATGTAAGGGGGTTCCCCCCCCGGGGATGTAAATGCCCCATGGTAATGTTTAATTGGCGCTGCACTTCACTCACGTTATCAATGAAGGTAATCTATCAGTCCCATAGGTAGCCTCAAACATGAATTCTAATCACCATATACAGTATAATAAAAACAGCCCGCAAAGTTTCGCGACGCCATGCATGCACCTTCCCCGTGCAGAAATGCAGAAAACGTTGGCTGTTCTCAGTAGTAAGCCAGAGTTATCATTTGTATTAGTGGCCTTCGAGACACCTTCTACTACTTACAAGATAGCAGATAGACATCAACGATTCCAAGAAACTACGAGCTACAATCTTGAACAAAATAAAATGGAACGGCAAATCCCCATCCCCATCTTCATCTTAGTTGCCTATACTGTAATTTGGCGGTAAAGAGAATGAAAGATAGCAGGCCGGCGCGAATGAAAAAGAACCAAATACAGATACATACTCAACACACTACGAAATGTTACAGAGAAACGGCACAACGGCACGTCAAGATTTAGATAACGATGACCAGGGGGGAAAGTAACGCTTTGACCCAATAAACGTGGACTTGAAACGCTTAACTTATACACAATTTTTTTACAGAAAAGGTACCCCTTTCGTATACCTTCTATTATGACAAATGGTACCCCTTTCACATATATAGTTTAGAACATTTCATCTTTTTTATCTGTTGTAAATACACTGACTTAAAAATATAAATATATATCCAAACCAGAACGTTTTCTCGACTTTTTCAGAGCCATAAAATACTGCTGTTAGACTTTTTGGGCCTTTTTACGGACTAAAATGACAGATTTCCCTACCCTTTCATATACTATAACCAGTGAAATCCCTACCCTTCAATATACCTGAAGCCTGAAAAAGGTGCCTCTTTCGGGCGGAGCCTCCCCGTATAGGCTATTATAAGGTGTACCCCATCCCCCCCCCCCCCCCCCCCCCCCCCCCGGGGGGGGGGGGGGCGGGCACGGGGTGTGACCCGCCCTTTTTTTTTTTTTTATTATATCTCCCCAGTCCCGGGAGGAAGAAAAAGAAGGTGGGGTGTGTGTTGGCCGGCAGACATATTGTAGTTTGGGGTTTTGTGATTGTTGTTTCTGACCCCCCCCCCCCCCCCCCCCCCCCCCGCCAACGGGGAGTGACAGAGTCGAGTACCGTTGGCGTAACCGCTTTTATCGTTAATTGACATAGTCTCACGCGATCGAGGTATAGAAAAGGTAGTTAGTGCGTCTTACGTGACCACGGAAATTGCGTTGAATTGGGTTTCCGGAATCTGTTTAACGATGTCATATGCCACTGATATTCGTGTCTAATATACAATTTTCGAGTGTTATTAAAGTGACCCATATTCGCAGAAATAAAAAGGGACATATTTCGCAACATTATACAACCAATTCGTGCCTGAATAAAAAGAATTAAAACCTTTCAACTAAAGACAAACATGCATAGAATGCAGCTTTTTCTGAGCCTGTCTTTTTACTGGATTAGCGCTCGACTGCTGTAGTTTTCAGATACTTAGCGTGCGGGAGAATAATATTTGGAGCGAGTCAAATTAAAATGTTGTGGGTTCCTGTTAAGTTTAAAGGATTAAAAGTAAGTTGCATGGCGGCGGTTTAAAGAGGAAGTTCAAAGAAAATTGAGGCGCGCGAGAGTCCGCGCGAGAATGGAAGTTCATAAGGCGCACATTTGTCCTTCATTTTCCCTTTAAACGCTTGTCGCGCAGTATACCTATAAAAGCGCGGAAGAGTAGAGTCATGGGCTCGTGGTTAAGTATATCCTGAGTACCTTTCTTGACGTGGCGAGACCCTTTTCTAATTGAATACGCGCGCCCCTTAGCATAGAGGCAAAACAACGACTGTTCGTGAGTGACTATGTTGTGGTTCAATTTTATCCTTGGTCTAATTTTTATTTCCCGTTGTTTCAAACTCATTATCATATATTACCATGCCCAAAAACAAAGGGAAATAAAAATTAAACCAAGGATAAAATTGAACCACAACAACTACAACTACAAGTCGTGACAGAAGATTCACATGAATGTTTGCGTGTTTAGTATACTCACACGCAAGACTCCTTTTCTAATTTTACACGCGCGCAAGCTAGAGGCAAAACTGAGTAACTACAAGTCGTGACAGAAGATTCACACGAATGTTTAAGTCTTAAGTAAATTCACCTGGACGTCCTTGAGTCAGTGTCTCGTCACTGAGACGCTTACACTGATTACTTTTGGGGCAAGGAAGTATTGGACTGACAACTGTTTCAACGATCTAGCACTGTAGACTCTAAGCAACCTACTGCCAAAGGCCTATTCGTATTATCAAGCTGTAACAAGTCAGCTGACAATAAGTGCAAGTATACTTAGTTTCATTTGACCGTATTCCCAGTAATGAGGTTTAAGTAACTTTCACTGAATGTCAGGAGCCAAAAGTCTTATCACTAGAAACGTTATGTTGCGTTATATAAGGCGTTTGTGCTACCGCACTTTCATTATTGTTCACTGATATGGCACTTCTGTGGAGCGAGAAATCCTACCTAAACTAAACGCATTTTGAGATTTATAATTAATGACGCAAATTCTAATTAT